GCGAGTGTGCAAGTGTGTGCCTCACACACACATAGAGCCCCGTGTAGACGACCACTGGATTTGCCTCGACAGCACAAAAACTCTTCCAAAGCCCAGGAGCAGTTGCCAGCAGTAGCTTCCGCTGCAGCCACGGCACCAGCGTCCGCCCAATAAGTCGTTTGCATTGTTAATGATTCAAATTTGTGGTAAGTGCCCTGAAATCGACTACAAAATGTGCATCTGGTCAAGCAAAGTGGCTCTCGGGTGTGGCTAGCTAACCTATTTTGACAACCAATTTGCTTCGGACGCACTCGCTCAGTGCTTATCTATTCTATCCAAGCCAGAAGCTGCTGCTCGAGGAGAACGGCGAAGAATGCTTCCTAATTGGCTTCGTTATACAAATTAATCAACTTTATACAGGGCAAGAATGTTCCCAGTTGTGAAGTAAAGATCCTTCGAACGGGGAGGTCACACGGCTCACTTCACTGCAGTTCACTTCATTCTCAATTTGTGAATCTCAGATGGAATGCCATTTGGCCTACAATTGTAATGTAAGCCCGGCGCTTAAGTGGATGTTTATGAAGTATTTATCAGGGATATCAATATGTCTGCCAACTGTTAGCCTGACGAGCTAGTTTTAATGCTTCCGCTCAGCCTGAACTTATTGTAAAATATTCTTATTTACTCGCTAGTTTAAGCCATCCACAAACAAACACATACCAAGGCACACGCACACAAACACACGCTTCCTCTATAGCCGCATCCACAGCCAGTCAATACGGCAAAGTACGATTGAAATTGAATAAAATGGCTTTTCAAATTATTTGCGATACAACAAAGCGCCATGTGGCAGAAAAGCTTATCTGCGGAAAATGTTAACTGTATGACAAAACATAAGTTGTAGATATGCAAAACCCTAAAGGAGACACACACGCACACATTTACAATTGTATGTCATTTGTAGGCACATCTACGAGGGTAGCTAGAAACGTTCTCTATATCTTCAGAATTTAGATTTCTTCAGTCATCTTCCCTATAACATTCACATAAATATAGTTTAAATTATATAAGGATAATTATTCAGATCTGTTTTAATTTTAATCTTTATATAACTTTATAAGTTTTCTGTTTTCCTCTAGAACACAGATTTGTCTAAGGGCCCTCGTATTTATAGGCTATATGTATATTTGTATGTTTGTATGCAAAGGCACAGCAGTCAAGACGCATATGTATTCATGTATGTGCTTGTGTGTGTGACACGCACACATGCGTACTTCAATACGAAATATATAAAAAACAAACAACAAATTTAGCGCTGAAAATAGAATACAAAGAACACAATACGACTGAAGCACGCCAATGCGCGGCTTTTATAGAGCGGGCTGTGGTGTGGGAGTGGCTGCGGCTATGTGTGGGTGTGCGTGTGTGTGTGAATGTGAATAGGTGGTGGGGTGGGGCATGAATGTACTTTCATGCAAAGGGAGCCTCGGTATCGATTTATGCATATTAAATTACACGAGCTGCCTCACAACAATACGCAGTTGTATCCAAATGGGAAGCATTGCGCTGCCTCCTACTGCCTCCTGCGTGATGCCTGCCGCGTGCTGCGTGCTGCTCCTTTGAAAATATTTATACACTTTTCTCATACGCGCCGCCTGAATTCCCGACATCTAAATTGGCGGCTACGCTGATTGCCGCCAGAAAGTAAGCCGCCAACCGCCCAACCGCTCAACCGCTCAACCGCCCAACCACCCCGTTATTATCCATACGATCCCACACTAGCGACCAATTTATAAACGTTTGGTTCTTCGTCTTATCTTTGGCAGGTTCTTCTTTTCGCTCTTTTTTTATTATGGCAACTGAGCTAACGCCCCCATTTGTGTGTCCATTTAGTCGGCGTGTGCGTGTGTGAATGTATGTGTGTGTGTGTGTTTCCGCATATCCGATAAACTTCGACGTTAGCAGCTGGTGCCTCACGTGGGGCTGGATTGACTTTCGGCACTCAAGGCTGGCCCCCAGCTTTATCGAGCCGCCTCCTTCAGAGCCCAAGCAGCGTAACAATTGGTTTTCAATGCAAAAACTTACTATACCCTTACACTATACTCTGTCCTTTTAAGAGTACTTTCAACATCTGCATACTGTTTGGTCTTTTTTCAATATATTCTGCTCTGCAGTGTGTATTCCATAATATCCATTTTGTCCTCCACAATCTATAATCCTGAGTAGTCTCCAGATTGCACTCAGTACTCTCGGCTTATCTCCACTCAACCCCCTACCAAATGAGCAAAGGCAGCTCCTTCGGCAATCAGGATATTACAAAGAAATGACTGACATAACTAACGCACTTTTTATTTTTCTCCTTTTTCGACAGTTGGATATGAATATGGAATAAGCAGCGAAGGTAGCTCTACATAAACATGCATACATGTACATACGTACATATTATACACACATACATATACGTATATGTATGTACATATGGCCAAGTCCTTCGAACGGACATTGTGGGTCAGGGAGGCTGTCACGCTCTGCAATATTAATGCGCTCGAGTTTGAGCCGTCCGCCCACAAAGTTAACGCCAAGAAAAGCATCCAAAGTGCCAGCCGCTCGTCCAGTCAGCAAAAACTGGAACTTTGTGGTACTCGCGTCCTGCGTTCTGCGTCCTGGGAGTCATAATATTTGGGTCACTTGGCAGCCGAGCATTGTTAATTATTCTGGTCACATCTGTTATGTAAACTACGTTCAAAGCATAAAAAAACGCGCAAAGACAAACCCCAAAGAAAAACTGAGTTCGCCTACTCGTGCGCTGTAGGAATTAAAAAGTTCCGAAATCGCGTTAAATGGACACCCGAAATTCGAATGCTACCAAATGCCTTTTTCAGCTCTTTTTTTTATTTTAAAGGGTTCTCCGTAGCAGCAGCAAAAATTGTACTCAGAGCAAAAACAAATATGTACCATGTAAATTTTTAAAATATTTCAGTGCAATTTTTTTGTGCCGAGCTCGAAGGAAAACACCTATTAATGTATTTTACATGAGATGCGAGCGCACCCAAAATACGAAATCACGGGGCAGCCACAGTGAGCCAAATATACAAGTTCTTCAACAAAACTTGATTAAATATTTCAGTACTCCAAGCTTAACCACAGTCAACAAACCTTTGTTTTCAGTGTGTGAGATATTTTATGCCCTTTGATCTATTATTGCCTGAATCAACCGAATAAGACAATGTAAACATTGCTTTGCCCACATTCAGACGTGACTGGATTGGTTTCTGGAAAGGTTTCCAAATTAAAAGTGACTAAAAATTGACTATGACTTTCGCAACCCCATATAGTCAGACAACAGCCTCGTAAATAATGTCGGACATCAAATGAATATGCACAGTACCATCCTTCTGCTCTCTTGTAACTTAAATGTTCCAGCCTAACGTCTACATGTATCACCCGTTTCTTTATTTCAGAACTTGCCAAATATATAGGAATCTGATAAAGCTTACCAGCCTTTATTCTAGATGGGATGCAACGTTGGTTACCAATAATCTTGTTGGATCCGAAAAAAGGAACACTCTATCATTTAGCGCAAAATTGTTTTCAATAACCAATCCAAACTTTTAACTATTCCCCACGCAAAGCACTTGCATGTTAAACACATTCCCAGGATGAGCTGCTCAGCATTCGGTTGCTGACGACCACAACGAAAAACACACACAGGATATGTACGGTGCGCCTTATAGCAAGTAAATACATTTCGCACTTTATCATATTGATATTGGATTACAAATTTATATTTACTAAATAGTTGTTAATTTTGTTTTGTTTGTGGAAAGCGCACAGCAGCTCCAGCCAACGAAATGCCAACAGAGGAAGAAAAGCGTCTACTTCAACTTCTTCTTGGGACGCAAGTTGTTGGTGTGTCCGCACTTCTTCTTGCGGCAGTTGGTTGCACGTGGGTGCAGACGAGCGTAGCATTTGCGGCAGATCATTTTGTCGCAGTTGTACTTCTGGGCGAGAATGCGAAGCGAGGGCTCAATGATGCCACCACGCAGACGGAGCACCAAGTGCAAAGTGGACTCCTTCTGAATGTTGTAGTCGGACAGAGTGCGTCCATCCTCCAGCTGCTTGCCGGCGAAGATCAGACGCTGCTGATCTGGTGGGATTCCCTCTTTGTCTTGGATCTTGGCCTTGACATTCTCGATGGTGTCAGAGGGCTCGACCTCCAAAGTAATGGTCTTGCCGGTGAGAGTTTTAACGAAGATTTGCATTTTGTAACTGTTTCTGCAAGCGCAAGATATTTTTACATTAGAATTACTTTAAATGCTTTCACGGTAACTCGAAAGCATCACATTTCTATTTTGCCGATTTGTGGTGCGACGTTGTCTCACGCTTTGAAACTTTAGGTTAGGTTCGTCGTGGTAACAATAGGCGACCAGTTTGGCATTCATTTCAGCCATCCGGCGATGTGCAAATGGAATACCCTTGCACATTTATTTGCTTTAGGCAATGCGCAAACAGACAATGCAATGCTTTCAAGTTTAAGTATTTCTTTTTACTTAATTACAGCAACTTACCAAGAGAAACGTGCAACCAAATGCTTATTCACAAACGAAAAGAGTGTGTACACTCCAATTATTAAATAACACAACACTGACACGACTGTTGTATCAATCAGCTTTTGATTGGAGGCGATAAAACTATCGATATTTAATTTTTATATTTCAGAAAATCTTGAAACTACTACTCTTTTAAGACATTCCTTGCTGATAAATATTTAAATGTGTTTATTATGATTGTTTTTTTTTTATGTGAAAATTATTATTATTATATGTTATTATTATTAAGCGTTGGCATGACGTGGTACTCGATCAGCTGTTATATATCGGTTCTGAATCCCTTAGCAATCTAACATAACTTAAAAAATGTTAATGTAATCGTGATGTGAAATAACATTTATAGCTCAGACTTTAATTATTTTCTCAATGTTATTAGCAGCTGGGCATTTATTCTGGCCCTCGCTGCTATTCTGTTAAATAACATTTTCAGTTCAACAAAATCTAGGCAACCACAGGAAAGTTGTGTAAAAAAACGTGTATTTATTTCTATTAAGTACACGTACACAACATGTCAGACAACGATGGCCTTTTGCCGGCAGCTGCAGCAGCACCGGTAAGTCAATCAACCGTGATTTTAATGTTCTTTCGCGATTCGATCTGATTCTATTCCAAAATACAGGCCGTTGGTGATGAGGGTCAGCAGCAGCAGCAGAACCAGCCGACGCGCATGGAGTCTTTTTTTGCAATGACAAAGTCGTTGATTCTGCGGGCCTTAATTATTTACTTCGTCAGTTCTTTCTTCAGGCGGCCCCAGCCGAATGCGACGCAAGACCAAGCCGTTGCCAATGCGGGCCCGAAAATAACAGCTTGGAACTATTTTGAGAATGGCACAGATTTCGATTTGCACATTTGGCTATCGGAGCAACCGGATGTGGTGAACTTCCAGCAGAAGAACAATCTTCTGTGGCTGCAAGAAGACCTCACCTACGGGGACTGGGTTTCGGGTCCCACAGGCAATGGCATCTACACACACAATGTCAAAATCAAGGCCAGTCCGCATCTGCTAAACAATGGCAGCGTCTACTTGCACGCCTTCGTCACACGTGCAGGTGAAAGTCCAGATCCTCAGTCCCCCAAATACTCAAAGCACGGCCACATGGGCCATCAACAGCATCAGCTGAACAAGTTTAAGAAGCTGCGGGTGAATCGAAACTACAATTTGCTTGCCAGCGAAAAGGAGAAGTTGGAGCACGAGCTGAAGCATGCCAACCTCAAAGATCAGATCGTGTCACACTGGCACTCCAACCTGACCATCAACTTGGTCGTGGATCAGACGAACTGGGCACAAGGCAGCGTGCCCGCGCCGCTCGATGAGTATGTGAAATTTGTGGATGGGGGAAAGACGTATCTGCCGATTGTCTTTGTCAACGACTACTGGAACCTGCAGCGCGATTACTTTCCGATTAACGAGTCCACGCCAGAGCTGGATCTGCACTTGACCTTCCAGCCGCTGGGAATGTTCAAGTGGCAGCTGTATGCCGCTAAGCAGATGAAGAGCAAGTGGGCCGGCAACGTGCTGGGCGAGATAATGGCAGCCAGTGCTCCGGAGGAGACAGACGAGGACCAGGACTCGCTGAAGGAAACTCTGCTGGACACCAACATCTACCTGTTAGGCATCACCGTGGCAGTCTCCATCCTGCACTCGGTGTTCGAGCTGCTCGCTTTCAAGAACGACATCCAGTTCTGGAACAATCGGCAGTCGCTGGAGGGTCTCTCTGTGCGGTCGGTGTTTTTCGGTGTGTTCCAGTCCCTGATCATTCTGCTGTATGTGCTGGACAACGAGACCAACTTCATGATACGGATCTCCTGCTTCGTAGGTCTCGGCATTGAGGTGTGGAAAATACACAAGGTCGTCGACGTCAACTACAACAACCAGCAGAAGGTACTGGGCATATTCCCACGCATCAGCTTCAAGGACAAGGGCTCGTACTCGGAGAGCTCGACCAAGGAGTACGACAAACTGGCGTTCAAGTACCTGGGCTGGGCCTGCTTCCCCCTGCTGGTGGGCTACTTCATCTACTCCCTGCTGTACAACGAGCACAAGGGCTGGTATTCGTTCGTGCTCAACATGCTGTACAGCTATCTGCTGACCTTTGGATTCATCCTGATGACGCCCCAGCTGTTCATCAACTACAAGCTAAAGTCGGTCGCCCACTTGCCGTGGCGCATGATGACATACAAATTCCTCAACACTTTCATCGATGACATTTTCGCCTTCGTCATCAAGATGCCCACCATGTACCGCATCGGCTGCTTCCGGGACGACATCATCTTCTTCGTTTTCCTCTACCAGCGCTGGCAGTATCGTGTGGACCTAAAGCGTGTAAACGAGTTCGGATTCTCCGGCGAGATGGAGGAGCAGGCTGCCAACAAGCGGCTTGAAGGAGAGGCAAACGCCAATCGGCCAGCTGGTGCCATAGAGGCATCCCAGGGCGCGGAAGCCACCAAAGCAGCGGCGAATACGACGCCCACCAAAAAGACAGCCGCACAAAAGAAACAGGACTAAAAAGCCACTGGCAGTGCGTCCAACACGAGAGATATGCATTAGAACAATTTTAACGGCAGTTATATACACATATATTACTTGTCTGTGTGCGTGCGCTATGCACGCACCATTATAAGCAAAAATTCAGTTTCAGTATACATATAGTCAAGCGGTCGGTCGACCGTCGTAGTTACGAACATATTCTAGCGGTAATTTAATATATGTGTCTTTTATTTGTTTCCTGGACCAGCAGCCGTGGTCCTTAGCATCGGCTACTGAAATAAATTCAGTGTGAGTGAATTAACTGATCTTATCGCTTATTATCTGAGCTGCTTATCACCACCCATCTGGAGATGCAACACGTGATTGACGTGATTAACGTAACAGTTAACTAGGCCATTTATGGCTAAGAAGAGAACCAGCTGCTCAGGGTCGGGGTCAATGAGGGCAAAATACTTGGAAATTAAGTATTTCCCCTTATTATTTGTATATGTAAATTAATTTAATTTAATTTACAAAATTATACATAATTGCATTTGGTGTCTGGATTATCCACATAAATTTCGAAATATTCAAATTTTGCCGCACTCTAGTGCTGTTAAATATCGGATATCGCTTGCGGATTTCACAGCACTGTCGACCTGTCGCTATCTAGCACTGTTTTCTGTTAAAGAGAAGAAAATAAACCTAAACAGAGAAGCTTGAAACAAAAATAAATTAAATTCTGTGCAGTTGAACTGATTCACCAGTGATAAATCAACTGCAATCAAATTATAGCACAACTAGTCAGCGCAGAGCGAGAGATTCCTCCGACTGGAATGAGTCAAGCTTCCACTCTGCTCGAGTAGCCGCAGCTGCAGCAAAGGTGAAAATTCTGTGTGCGTGAGCAAAGCAAACTCTGAAAAAATGTACTCTGAGTGGGCTTCGCTGTCGGCGCAGATCAATGCCAACAGTTGTGGTGCGCAATGCTTCAGTGTTCTGAACAAGTTTCCAGCATCCGCTGGTCGAGAAGTGGTGATGTCGGTGGTGAAGCAACTGGGCACCAATTTGGGCATCACACAGAATGCGGAGCCCAGTCACCTGGTCAAGGATGAGGAGGTTTGTTTGTTGCTGATGATTTCTCTACTATTCGGGAAACCAATGTTAAGCTACTTACAAATAGGTCAGATGGTGCATGGACGTCATTTGCTTTGGGCTCTCGTTGCCCTTGCAGGAGCACGAGACCATCAAGGATTGCGTCAACGTCTACTGCGAGTGGTTGACCGCGCTGCACCCGCAGCCGCGCATCAGCGTGCCCAAGCCCATTTGCGAGGATGCGAATCTTTACGCAAGGCAGATCATCAATCACTTCCACAATCTGTTCGTTCCGCGGCAGGGAGAAAGTAAGTACCATTAGCCCCATAAATGATGTAACCCCTTTTAGCTGCTTTTTGAGCCACATTCACACACGACGACGATTTGTAATTATTGCATTCTAAATTTCAAGTCTTGCCATTTTTATACCAAACGAAGCTTGGTAGGTGCTCTCTCTCTTTGTTTACTCTCCAAAAATCTGACTGCTGCGCTAATGCTCACTATCGTTTCTTATAGGCTCCGACACGATCAAGCGCCAGGCCGTGCTCTGTCACCGAGTTCTGCGCACTCTCCAGCAGACGGCGCAGATTTCGCAGCAGATGGACCGAGAGACCTGGGAGACGCTGCTGCTCTTTCTGCTGGCAATTAATGAGATTCTGCTGGCCCCGCCCACCGTCAAGGACGATGTGGGCGACCAGCTGTGTGAACGTGTGCTCTCTGTGCTCTTCGAGGTCTGGCTCTTGGCCTGTGTGCGCTGCTTTCCATCTCCGTCGCTCTGGAAGACCCTGCAGGAGTCGTGCGCCATGTGGCGCCATCGCATTGCCCTTGTGGATCAGTGGAATCGAGTAAATCTGGCACTAACCGCGCGGTTATTAGAGTTCAGCTATGGTCCAGATTTTACACAGCTTAAGAATGGTGAGCGACAGCACCGGTAATTAATTTTAGAAAATTAAAAAAATGTCTCCTTTTCCTTTTTTACTTGGTGTAGCTGATGAGGATAGTCAGCTCATTCCTGCGGGCATGTCCAACGACTGCGTGGCGCAGACCTGGTATCGCTTCTTGCGCATGATCGGCAACCCCACAGCTCTGTGCTCGCCGCACATCATTAGCAAGTCGTCGCACTTTGTTCAATGGGCTCTTACACACGAGAAGGGGGCCGAGACTCATCAGCATCCGTGCCTTCAGGCTCTGCCGCAAATCTTTCTGAATGCGATCCGCGGGATTTCCAGTCAGGTCGATGCCTTTCTTGGTAAGATATGCTGTGAAAGACAGTGTTCGGGTTTCTTGTAAATGTGGGATACTGCTCTAGCTCGAATAGTTATTATATCGCTTTTACAACCATCCTCGAACCGAAATGCAGGCATTTATCAGGCACCGCCTAGCCAACAGGAGAACGTCGTTACGAATCTGCTTGAGATCCGCCACTCTTTAAACGAGGCCACTTCATCCACGCTCCAACAGTTCATCCACTCGAGTAGCGCCTCGAACATTAGCATGCAGCAATCGGGGTCAGCTCAGCTGTCTCATCCGCCGCATCATCATCACCACTATCCGCATTTGCATTTACACGGCGCGGGGAGTTTCCTCCGCGATAACTTTGTAAGCAGCTCGGCCAGTTCTGCTCTAAATGCCATCATGGGCCATCATCATCATCAGCATCAGCCGCAGCAGCAACAGCCGCAGCCCCAGCAACAGGCTCCAGGGCAACACGTAGCAAATTTTAGTGCTTCGCCAATCACTCCCGGGGGGCCCGTTGGCAGCGTCAGCGCTGGCGGCAGTCACTCGGCGGGCGTTGTGGGCTGCATCTCGTTCAGCACGTCTGAGGCGGCGCCGTTAACCAGCTCCAATGGTACTAGCGGCAGCAGTGTTACACCTACACCTCCCTTGCAGCGTCGCCTGGCCAAAAGTTTCAGCGTGGCCCCATCCATTACGCAGCAGAAGGGTGCGATCTTTGTTCATAGAGCCCACGTTGTACCGTTTCGCTTGTGTTACTGTTACAGCATGCTAGAGACTAACTAAGCTTCTGGTTGATTGATTGAACTGACGAAGATCGTCGGCGCTTTATTTCGTATGCCCGCACTTATTTACATTTTACGTTCATTATTTCACGCGCTGTGGCCTTTGTTAGATCAACCATTCAGTTTTCCAAGTCCATTTGACTGCCTGATTTTGTTTTTCATCACGCCTCCACGTATGGATGCACACATGTGTTTGTAGCTGTAATTATTCGTTCCCATTTAATAGATCGTAGCTCTATATATCTATTGTACGCCCACAATTATAACTGAGCACAGTGTTGCATGCGTGTATGGCATGCACTCGCGCCGTCTAACTCTGTTTAGTAATATTTCACACGCTTTCCCTTCCCACACGCTTTGCAGGCTTAAGCAAAACAGCGCTTATCAGCCTAACACGCAGCTCAGCGAACGCCGCCCCCACTACTCCGACTTCTGGCCCGCCCTCGTCGAGCAGCATCAATTGTGAGTGTTGTGATGTAGCTAAGCAAAACACTTGTCGGCTCCGCTCTCAACATTTGTTTTACCCACGTTCTCTCCCTCTCTTTGAACTACAGCGCTACCATCCATCGGAGCCGAGCTGCGTCCGCCTCTCTCTGTAGCTCGCCCGAAGTGCAACAGCATTCTCCACTTATTCGGCGAGTGGTTGTTCGAGGCAGCACACATAGGCGGCGATACCTGGCTGCAGAACCGTAAGAGTGAGTACCCGATGGAGCGGTGATCAGTTGCTATTTGAGACTATATTCATTGGGTTTTTCAGAGCAAGCATGTGAGGCTAGCAAGCGACCGTCGTCTATGATAATGGAGAACCGCAAGGGATCGATATCGTTGTCCCAGCCGAATTCGCTGAACGACCCCTCATCCCTGCCGCCTACACTAACCATTGACAAATATGAATCCGGCCGTGCCGAGGCAATCGGCACACTATGCAAGATATTCTGCGCAAAGAAAACGGGAGAGGAAATCCTGCCCGTCTATTTGGCTCGCTTTTATATGGCGCTGCAACAGTGCCTCAAAATAACTGAGTCGAAGGAGTGTGACGAGACACTAGCCAGCATTCTGCTCCACTCGTCGGACTTATTTCGTTTGGACCTTGATGGCATAAATGTGCTACTTCCCGGATTCATAGCAGCTCTCGAAATAGTGCTGCCAGACAAAGACCTAAAGCTCAAGACTCAAGCAGTTGCTTTCAGCCGCACCGAACTGCGGCGCTCGGCCATAAATATTTTGCTGTCTATTATGGTGCTTCCCCTCCATTACCACGCGTTGCCCATTCGCAGCTTGACAGCCGACTCGGGCGACAAGTAAGCACAGCTGGCATTCCAGCTAGCTCTATTGTTGTTGGAATCAATATTTACTATATGAATGCTTCCCAGGGTGATGACATTCTTGCAACTCAAGTCCCGGCTGATGAACATACTGATGAACGCTCTGCAGGTGGAAACCGATGCACAAAACACGCATATGCTATTGGGCGGATTGCTGCTCTGTGTCCAAGACGCAGTCACCTTTGAGGAAAGTGAGCTGGGAGCCACAGATCACCTGGGTGGAGCCGGTGTGCAGCACCATGAAGAAAATATTCTGAGCTCTGGTAAGGGCACCCTCCAGGGAGTCGCTTGGCTTTTAAATGCATTTGGTTGATTATTTTACATAATTATTTTAATTTATTTTGTTTGCATTTTGATTTTATTTCTGATATCGCTGTGGGTGTGTCGTCAGCGTGCTCGGACCGTTCCGCTTCGTTAGCCAGCGGCACGGTGAGCTTTGGCGCTCCAACCGCGGCGACGAGCTCGCGTGACACGGCTTCGGCCCACGATTATCCCAGTCTGACCATTTCCGATGATATATCGGTGGAGTTTGCAAGCGAATTAGAGGGCGTTGCATCATATGGTAAAGTTTACTTTTTATCTCTTTTTCTTTACTTCATTTTCGTTGCCTCGCTCTTTCATAGAGTACAAAACGCATTTATCAAGCTCAACTGATAAGTTAATCAATTTTTAATTCTAATTCTTCATTTTTCAGACAACGCACATGCCCTCTTTGTGCGAGCGACGTATTTGGTGTGTCATCGCCTGATATCCTCGTGGAAGACCGACTTGAACGTTTCACTGGCGGCGCTGGAGCTACTGTCCGGTCTGGCTCGACTTCACATACGCGAAACAGGTATTGTATTAAGGACTCGCATGTGCCTCGCTATTCTTAATGTCCTCTCTGTGTAAATTTCTCTATTTTCCCACTGTGGTTTCTTTCCTGTATAAATCTGACCTCACATTCGCATCCATTCTGAATTTTGTATGTTTATATTTTTGTGTGAAAATAAAAATCGCAGCCAGGAAATTAACGAATGGTAATCTTATCAAATGCTACTAACCACATACTCATCTTTCTTTTTCTTTTCTTTTTATGTGTTTCTTTGACACCACTAACACTTTTGCACCTCTTTAACCTTCACTTGCTAATATGCGGTGGTAATTGTTGCTCCTTTTTTGTTTGTGCTTTAATTTCTTTCGGGCTACAATGTAAATAACGAACTTACACATCCTAGATTCCTTAGTGAAAATAGTCGATCCTAGTCAAAATCTAACGATAATCTCCACAGACGCCCTAGAATGCAAGCGCGCAGTGAAGTGGATATGCGACTATATTTGTTATCAGTGCTCACGACCTCCGCCAGCGCACAGCAAGGATCTGCACAGCACAATAGTTGCGGCGTTCCAGTGCACAGCAGCCTGGCTTATGCAGCATCCCTACCTGTTGCAGGACAAGGACTGCCTGCAGACTGTGCTCGAGGTCGTCGAACTTGGCATATCGGGCACCAAGAGCCAGAGTAAAACTGGAGATCTGCCCAAGTTTAAGGATGAAAAGGAATTAAAGCCAGCCTCAATGCGCGTTCGCGATGCAGCTGAAAATTTGCTGACGATCATCCTGGAGCAAGTCGGCTATTTCCCTAGCGAGTGTGGACCCGAGTCTATATCGTCGCTCTTGGACGAACTGGCTCTCATGAAGCACTGCAATTCGCTTCCGACCGGAGACGGTTCGGTGGGCGTTTGCACTGCGGAGCAAGCAATCTCAAAGTTTAAGTATTTTGTTACTGAAAATTCGACAATATTGGCTCTGTTGGAAGAGCCTCTAGGCAATGATCAGGATCCGCAGCCAACTGTCACCCGTAAGTAAAGAACGTGTGGAAACTTTCATTCTTCAAATTCTCATATCGACGCTTCCCACAGTTTTAATACGCGGCCCATTCGGTCGCCATGCGTGGACTATGCAGCTGCGCCATCTGCCACGAAGCAAATCCGGCATTAAGTACCACGCCGTCAATCCGGGTAGACCCATTGCAATGAATGACATCACCCAGCGTCCTGAATGCGAACAAAAGAACTTTCCCGAGGGCGTGGACAAAGTTCAGCCTTGTGTGGCTGATTACTCAATACCAACAATCGATCAGATACGGGAACAGTACGGCGCCAGCATCATTAATGATCTGGAGGTCATGCTTGAGAACCAGAGCATACACGAAAAGTTGGCTTGGGCTGAGTCGGACAATAATGTGGACAGTCTGTCACACGCCCAGGAGTGTGTGCCGCCGACGGTCTGCCACGAGTTCCATGCAGCTCGTCTGTTTCTCTCCCACTTTGGATTTCTTAGCTTTGAAGTCCGCAACCCGAACAACCCCGTGGAGTCCTTGGCTCCTCCCCAAAGGCCTCTCATTGTGCTGGACACGAAATCATCGGCGTTCGCAGCGGATTTGGACAAGCTGGATAAGCTTAGCGCTCGCACGCACGACACTGTTTATTGTTTCTACGTAAAGGTGAGGTCAATTGCGCCAGAAGCGTACCGTCCATAACACTGTCATGACCATTTTGCTGTTGTTGTTCCATTTTGTCGTTCACGTGCAGGCGGGTCAAACGAGTGCACAAGAAATCATTGGCAACATGTCCGAGGACCAAGTGTATGATCCGCACTTTGCCAACATGCTGCAAACTCTGGGCTGGCCTGTTCAGGTGGCTGAGCACTCGGGCTGGACGGGCTTTGCACACAACTCTTGGTCACTGAAGGGCACATCAGGGCGCTCCAACGTGTCCAGCGAATCTAATTACAACGGTGCGCAACGCGTACTTTACTGGGCAGACGTTTCCTCTGAGATAGCATTCGTTGTGCCCAATGCTTGGAATCTGCGCTACAATAACGAAATGGATGGCTGCAGTCTTTCCAGTAATTGCAGTGATCAGAGCACAGCGAGCAATGTCTGGATACGTGGCGACGACGCTGGCTCTATGAAGTCGAAGACAAGAAATCTCAGCCTGGAGTTGGACACAGGCAACAGAACCAAGGAGCCTGTGCCACCCACGCGTCGAAAGGGTAATGTGTCGAAGCCTGCACTTCTTGTCCAGGCACCCGCTAAGATATTCCTCGTGTGGCTAGAGAGCTTCGAGGATTACTTAAACTTCCCTGTCGAGGATTTATTGGCCTATGCGCGCACTGGTGAAGAGCTGCACTCGATGCAATTGCCGAGAGCAGCCGACTGTCACGTAATCTTCGTGCACTCTCTTCAATCTGGTTTGCTGAGAGTCAAATTACTGGGACCACCTGGCCGCATGAGTTTCGCCACGCCTTTAGTCGACGGAATGGTGCTCAGTCGGCGGGTTGTGGGTAATTTGGTACGTCAAACGGCTCTAAACATATCTCGGCGTAGGCGGTTAGATAATGATAAGTAAGTGCTCTAGACTGCTCTCTCTTCCAAGAGCCATTTATATCATATGTATGTATTATTTTCTCTGCAGCTACCAACCGCCTCATGTACGACGTCGCCTAAAGGTGCAGGACATAGTCCAAAAATATAAGATGGACCTAAGCGAGGCCGAACTATTAGCTCATTTGTTCCAGCGTTCGATATAGCCTTAAAGTATTTATTATTTCCCCTGAAATATTCCATCAGTTTCTTTTGTATTCAAACTTATAAGTCTAAATAAACTAACAAAATTAGGACCTAAGAGCAACAAAAACACTCGCCCGCTGCTTGCATTCGATATGTAAATAGCAAGATCACACCTAGACTGGAGCAAGTATCGGCATTGCTGTAACCGCAACGCCCACATACTTAGCAGTCGCGATTAAAGCATTAACAGAAAGCGCGAATTCCACACTGAAATAGCCCAACAACTACAACTCGCGCAGGCTAGCTGGCCGGGGCCAGCAGGCAACAGCTATTTTTATTGGTATACATATTTTTGTTTTTGTTTTTTCTTCAGTGCTGGCCACGCTTTTGGGCCCCAATCGCAGCAACAGAAACAGAAAAAGCATCACATTACTTCGCTGGCTGGCCTGGACTTTGCGTGTTATTGTAATATTTCTCAAAGATAAGAATGCGACCAGACCGGACTGCATGCTGGCCGCCTGCTCGGCCGCTGCATTTGAGCAGTTCAGTTTATAAACAAATAAGCTCGGCCGAAACTTTTGTAATGCGCTCCTTACCAAGTGACAGTTTTACAATGTATGCCTAGTTGGCATACATTTCCGTACATAAAACAAAAGATCTAGAAAAAAAAACTTAAGTTACGACAAAAGACTTAGGCGACAAACTTCAAGTTTTCTGTATATTATAACACACAATCAATTTGAAATTCCTACTAAGAAATAAAAAGGCAAAGATCTCGATGGCTTTATACCCTAAAGCAAGCTGATGTTATCTATGTAGTGTATAAGAGCGCTTCGACTTCAAACGTCTCCATGCTCAAGCAGCGTCCCACTCATACACATTTGGTGCCTGGTATCCCGTGTCCATCACATGAATGCATGCAGGTATACGCATACATTAGTTCACGCCAATACAAAAGGGAAGTATACGCAGGTCAAAATTCCAAAAAAAAAAGAGAGAAAAAGAGGCAACAGCGGTAAAGTAAACGACAACTAACCATAAGAAAAATGACCAGCGATAATTTTAATTTGAAACCAGTTTCTATGCCAAACAAAAATTCTGCAGCGCAGCCGAACAGAGTCTTGAGACTGCTCAGAACCAAGTAAGCAGAAGAAGTGGTAAACTAAACAAAAATTACCAATAAAAGAGAGAGAGAGACTTCTCGCAGAGAGAGAACTAGAGCTTTGGCGAAGCAAAACAATTTCTTGTTTCTTAAGGTGCGAGAGTCGGGAGACACTGAGTCACATCACGGCCTCAGCAACATTCAGCGGCAAGTGGAGTGGGCAACCAAGTAATTTTTAATCTTATTGTGTATGAGTCGCCGGTGGCTATTGAATCTTGTTGGGCTGGCTAGCTGGCTTGGTGCACACCAATGCGGGCCAGAGTCTCACAGATTGGCTGAGTGGACAGCACAGGCAGAGCAGTGCGGGCAAGTCAGAAAAATTCTGCTTCGTGGAGAAAAGGTAAAGGCGCACGCTCACCCATATATGAGCATTTCAGCAGGAAGGCGAAGAAAAGCCGAGCAGCGCGCCGAGGTGAGCTGTAGCTGGCAACGATTCTGTACAAGAAAATGAAAAACGAAACTGCAACAAGTGAAAAATATGTTGCGGGCGACGGCGGCTGCTGCCGCTGCTAGCATTGCTGTGTCTTTACTGCTGCTGCTGCGGCTACGGCTGCGCATGCGAAGCAACAGGTAAAAGATTCAGCTAAGCAACGTGCAGGCGGTACAACAGCAACAATGACAACAACAATCAAACAAGCTACCACATTTGGTACGTTTATGACGGCAGCGGGAGAGCCGTGTTCGTTCTCTCTCTCCCTCTCTCTCTCTCTATTTTTTGTCTCTCTGCCTTTGGGTTTCTCCTGCTCAGTCTCCATCTCTCGGGTTAAACCTGCCAAGCGGCTTTTCGAAGCCTGGCTGCCGCTATGTTCATAATTTTGTGCTGCCTGCGCGCTGCAAGTTCTCCTCGAGCAGCTCTCGACAGTCTACAGTCAGTTAGTTACGTTGCGACCACAGAGCGAGTGGCTGTTCGGTTTGGGAACGGGAACGTGTGCGCGTGAAACGATTGAAACGCTTGACAAAAGTGAAGGTGCGACGGATGCTCAGGTTTCGTTGGCCCATACCTAAATACGGTTACCCATACTCAAGCCAAGTGTATTTGTGTTCGTGCGTGCGCGCGTGTGTGTCTGTGTGTGCAACATATTTCAATCGATGCGTTACAATTAGTTATTCTCGATTCATAGATCCATATGCGCCCAATAATAATATAAATCTGATTTACAGCAGTTGGTAAATTAAGTGTGGACACCACTGCGTATGGGCAGCTCGCTCTTTGCGCTGCTCCGTGTGTGTGCGTGCCTGTGTGTGTGCCTGTTATCGTTGTATTTCTTATAAGTGAAAAATTCCAACAACGTTGCAGGCCGCACTGCAGCAAGAAATACAAGAGCAGAAATGAGGCAAAACACGTTTTGCTGAAAGAAAAAATGCTTCTGAGTCTGTGGCCCCTGACGATGTTGCATTTGTGTTTTTTTCTGTGCGCGTGTCGTATTTACACTATATGTATACCAGATCAACCAACACCAACAGCAAGGCTATCACAAAACTCTAACTAAAAATGTGAACAAAAAATGGTAGGTATTTCGAATCTAACGAGACTCAACACAAACAGATATATAAATAAACTTTACGCACTAGATTTCCATTTTGAATGGAAATAATCGTATACGAGGAGGGCATAGCCGTCTAAAAAATATTTACTGCAGGTAAATGCGGTAAATACGACGAGATAGAAAGCAAACTCCGGGAAAAAAGCTATCGTGAATAGACAGCAAAGCGAACTTGAAATCGACGCAACGAAACTCAAACAAGATTAATTGTTGAATTTTTATAAATCAACGGTAACGTAGGTAGTTGTTATTGTTGTTGTTATTGTTAAGGTTGACGTCTTTTGTTGTCGGAGGCTGGAACAGCGATTTGTGTGGAGCTTGAAACGCCAGCGCTCGTAGCTGTCACGTAATAGTCTGAAAAATGTTGAAGAAAACAGAAAACACAAAAATGCCTTTCCTATAACAAAAATAAGTAATCATTTTTCCTTTGTTGTATTTGGTTTTTCTTATCTGTTTTGTTCAAAAACGAAAATACTCATGGCAGGTATTGGCGGCTCTCGAGCATTGCTCGAAGTCCGAAGTGTAAATGAATATGGAAATATGAAAAACAAGTTTTCTTTCAGAAGAGGCTAGGCCAGGCTAAGCATGGCAATAAAGTGAAAAGCAGAAATAAAGAAAAGTCATAAAAATAAAGATCATACTTCAATGTGTGTGTATGTGTGTGTGTGTGCGAGCCTATCTGTGTGACTGTGTGCCTGTGTGGATATCTTGTATCTTGTAGGCGCCTCAGAGCAACGCTCATTGATTCCACTTGGCTATCGATTATTATTCTTTACGAATTTCAAAGCTTGGCCATATGGCTTGCGGGCAGGCAGAGGCTGGCTGTTAGCCACGTTCTGGGTCTATGCTTGGCTCTTTTGTTATAATTTGCATTGCAAATGTTTCTCTGAAACTTGTACAGATATGGTATTTATGAGCTCTTAAAAATAGCTCGCATAACTATATATGTTAAGATATAGTTAGCTATCAAAGGGATGAAAAATATATTTAGGTATTTTTTCCCATTCTTACATAATCTAGAAAGTGCATTGAACTGTTTTCTTAACAAATTCGCAATATTAAAATACATACTCAATTTTGCTCTACTTTTTAATATCTGTCAATTATTTTGAAATTTAGAGAATCCAAATTTAAATTTAATTCTCTGCCTCTTAAGTGACGAAATTGACATAAAACTTGATAATATTTAAATAACATACAACAACAGTAACGTAACTAATGTGAGCTGTATTCATAGACAAAAGGCATACATGTATATTTGTATATATATA